ATCCGAATTGCACCTATGCTGTTGGCGATGAATTGCCATCAGAGCAGTACGAGGAGGCAAAGACGAAGTACCGCGGATTTGAAGTAGATGAATTATCCCTTCAGATGCGAATTGAGGTGGAAACAGTTGATGGAACTCGAGTACCGCACGTCATCCCGGCGGACTACTCCTTCTCTTTAGCAGAAGGCGATAGTATCCGTAAAGGAGAAACCCTCGCCGAACTCCATGAGAGAACAGCGAACCTTGACATCGTTGCCGGTATTCCACGTGTCACCGATCTATTTGAGGCGCGACGCCTAAAACGCGGCGATGCCGCGCAAATCGCCGAAATTGAGGGATATGTCCAATCCGCAGGCGCAAAAGGGAGGTGTCCCGACATATCGCATTGAACACGGAGAATATAAGAGTAGTGTCTACCAAATCCCTGACGAGAAACGACTTGTCGCTGAAGGGGATTGGGTGGATGCCGGTGAACCTCTTACCAGTGGTTTCCTCAATCCGCACGATATTTTGAGTATCGGACGCACCACTATTGAGGGAGTGCCTGTTGAAGGCGAAGAAGCGGTTTGGGCATATCTCGTCGATGAAGTGCAGAAAGTCTATGGCAAAGGCACTATCAACGATAAACATATTGAGGCAATAGTACGGCAGATGCTGACCAAGATTCGCATCACCGAACCCGGTGACACGGACCTCTATCTGAATGAAGAGGTGCATCGCAAACGGTTTGAGCACATCAACAGCGAAGTTGTGGAGAAAGGCGACACACCTGCTACGGGTGAACCGATTCTCCAGAGCATTAGTAAAGCCTCCTTGAGCACGGATAGCTTCATCTCTGCCGCCTCCTTCCAGCAAACGACGAAGGTGCTAACAGATGCCGCTGTCAGTGGACAAACCGATAAACTCTTCGGTCTGAAGGAGAATGTCATCCTCGGTCGCCTCATCCCTGCGGGGAGTGGGTTCTCCAGTTTCCAGAACTTAGAGATATCCGCTGTTGAGCCTGAGATCAAGGCTTCGGATGATGACTAACCCTCTCTATTATAGGGGTGGGCCCGCCTACCTGCCCCTATGTCCTTGTATCAACTGCATCAAGGAAGCCAAGGAAGGATTAAAAAGTGTTTAACGTAAGTTCGGCTTAATCCTGCAGGAGAAAACCTTTGCCTTGGACAAATGGCCCGCTTATACTTTATCACGGCACTACTGATGACGCAGCAGCTGTTATAAGTAAGCCTTCACGTACCTGGCCTCATGGCATTGACTTTAACTTCTGTAAACCATTAAGAGATTTTGGGAAAGGCTTCTATCTAACTACGGTTCTGAGGCAGGCAGAGAGTTGGGCAGATCGGCAGTTTAGGCAGCACCAAAAATCCAAACGAGCAGCACGCTCAGCTGTTCTTAGGTTTGAGGTAGATAGAAATCAGTTGGCACCTTTGTTAAGTTTGTGTTTCGTGACAGATGGTTCAAGTCTGGACTATTGGGATTTTGTTCACCATTGCCGCAGAGGAGCAAGTACACACTTGTTACAAAGCGATAGGAATTATGATGTAGTCTTCGGACCTGTTTCGCTTGGAAAACAGCGGTTCGTTATAAAGGATGCCGACCAAGTAAGTTTTCATACGGAAGCCGCGTTGAAAATACTCCCTGCGCCAATGCTACATAGCCAAGGAACACCAACCTATGATATGGAGAGCTAACAAATGGCCCCCGTAAAAGACAACAATATCCCCTTGCCTCACAGTTATGTGGAGGAATATTGGACATTGGTTCGCAAGGCCCTGAAAGATGTTTTTTCAAAACCGCCTAGTGAAGCAGATATCTTACAACAGACAATTGAAAATCTACCTGTCGTACAACAGGATTTTTTCTATAATGAAGAACCGTTTAACGTTGCAGCGAACCTGGCTGATGAAGATCCAACCGATAGTCAAATCAAGGCGTACCTGTGGCTCAATGCGGTTGAGGATCTCAAACAGATTCTAGAAGATTACGATTATCTGGAATATGATGAGACGCTGCCTAATCCTGGTCTGCTACACATCAATGTCACCATCGAGCGCCTGAGCGTATGTCAAGTTATACGCTATCTGTCCACAAACTAGAGTAGATTAACTTTGCACGGAACTATGTCTATGCTGGCAGTGTTATACTGGCGAGATAATTTGGAGGCGGTTTGGTCGTTTTTCACTTTGAGAGAAGTAGACCTTGATCAACATGCGGAAATCCAATTGGCTTACGAGATTAGCCATACGCCTTTACTATGTTTCAAATAAACCAAGTTGCTGCCTAAAAGATTATAAGCGTTCGGAACTTGCTGTAAAAAGGAGCACATTGTGAGACTCTCCGAAAACCCAAAAATCGTTGAGGATCTCAAGCAGATTCTGGAAGACTACGATTATCTGGAATATGATGAGGCGCGCCCTAATCGCGATAAGAGGTTTGAAGGCCTATCTATTAAAGTTACCTCAGATGCTGATCGTGATGTTCAAACCATAACGGATATCTGTCGCAGACTGGAGGCAGCTACGCGCCGGAACTATGTTTTCTCTATGGCGGCAGTTATACAGGAGCAGATAATTTGGAGGCGGTTTGGTCATTTTTCACTTTGACCGAAGTTAAACACGACCAAACAGTCAGCATGACACAGGAAATGCAAACGAATTGAATTTCACCCGCATTTCCCGCTAAAGATGCAGAAACCATTTACCCCAAATTCGGTCGTGTCATATCCCCCGGTACGACCAGTTCGTCAAAAGCCTCTCCTGTTAAGACTTCCATCGCAACGGCAGCCTCGCGGAGCGTACACCCCTGTTCGTGTGCGTGTTGTGCCACCTTTGCCGCCTTATCGTACCCGATGTGTGGAGCCAACGCCGTCACAAGCATCAGCGATTCTGAAAGATGTCGCCCGATGATCTCACGGTTCGGCACGATACCTTCTACGCAGTTAACGCGGAAAGATTCACACGCATCCCCAAGAAGCTGTATGGACTGTAAAGCGTTATACGCAATCACAGGCATAAATACGTTCAGTTGCAAGGCACCGTTCGCACCTGCAAACGTCAACGTCGTATCATTTCCCATCACCTGTGCACACACCATCGTGACGGCTTCACATTGTGTCGGATTCACCTTCCCCGGCATAATAGAACTACCGGGCTCCATTTCAGGTAGTTGCAGTTCGCCGAGTCCACACCGCGGTCCCGACGCGAGCCATCGGATGTCGTTCGCGATTTTGAACAGTGCAACTGCCAACGTTTTCAAAGCACCACTTGCGCTAACAACCGCGTCTCGGCATGCGAGTGCCTCGAACGCGTTCGGTGCGCGTTGGAGTTCATAACCTGTTGTTTCCGAAAGCCGTGCAACGACCCGTGCAGTGTAGTCAGGGTGCGTATTCAACCCGGTACCGACAGCTGTTCCGCCGATCGGGAGTTCACAGAGATGCGGAAGCGAAGCAGTAATGCGCTGTTCGGCGGCGGTAAGTTGTTGGGCATACGCACTAAATTCATGCCCAAGTGTAAGCGGGGTCGCATCCATTAGGTGTGTTCTTCCAATCTTGACGATCTCTGCAAATTCGGACACCTTTTCTCCGAAGGCTTCTTGCAGTGCGACCAAGCGCGGCAACAGATGTGTCTGCATCTGCCGGACCATTGCCAAGTGGATAGATGTCGGGAAGACATCGTTTGTCGATTGAGACTTGTTAACATGATCGTTAGGGTGGATGGGATGCTTGCTGCCCATTTCGCCACCGAGCATCTCAATTGACGGTTCGCAATGACTTCATTGACATTCATATTTGTCTGTGTTCCACTGCCTGTCTGCCAGATACGGAGTGGAAAATGATCATCCAGCGTGCCGTCAATAACTTCTTGTGCTGCTGCGCTAATCGCTTCCGCGAGTCGGGTTTCAAGCGAACCAAGGTCAGCATTGACCTGTGCGACTACTTGTTTAATAGTACCAAGTGCCCATATAGCGGCACGCGGCAGGCGTTCGTCACCAATTTTAAAATTCTGGAGTGCACGTTGCGTCTGTGCTCCCCAGTAACGGTCAGCGGGAACATGAAGCGTCCCCATACTGTCTGTTTCGGTTCTCATAGTGTGCTTAGATTTCCTTTCATTAACTTCTGAATTCTCTATTCAACGTTTTAGACATGAAAACGTCTTATTATTTATAGGACTTACGCATCAAGACGCTGTTCGGACGGGTCCCCGTGCCCGTCGGAACCTGAACGCGCGCAAGGCACGAAAGCCGAAGCCATCCTGCGGAACATAGTGAGGCCGAACGTAAATTGCGTAAGTCTTGATTTACACAAAGAATACAGATATTCCTTCGCCAGAGCAGTACTTGGCTCTTAAGATTGCTCTTAAGATTTCTTAAGAATTTAGCACACTTTCGCCTCCTAATTCAATTAAATTCTGGGTTTTTGCTGAGCGGTTTGATACATAAAATTTCGCGTACGTCACGGAGATGAAGGACAAAGGTGTGAATAAGCACGCTTAAAATTTGCTATTTTTTGTTAGACATGGTATAGTTAAATTAGACGGGAAGTTCGCACGAGAAACTGAACTGTAATCCTAATTGAGGAGTGGAGTCGCGAGTGGATTTAACATTAGCCAATCCGTATCTCATAAATGCCTTAACAGCACCACCCCGCAGACATATCGCTACGAACGCTGGCGAGAACGCGGATACCATCCCGACTTACGTCCCATTTCCCCTGACAGTGAATCTGGGACTTTAATAGGGCAGATGGGCTGGGTGGGTGCACATGCACACGCGCACGACTATTTATGGGCGACTGCTGGTAATATGGGTGCAATTTTAACTGAAACAGTTGACGATGCGTGTCTCATCTCTTATGAAGCATCGCCGCGTTACCAATTACCACCGCAGATTATTGTGAAGGGATTAGCAGGTAAACACGTATTACTCACAAAAATCGGGTTCACGTTTGGACATGATTGGCATTGAGCATCCGGCACTCAATTTGACGCTTGTTGAGGTGGAACCAGATGGCACTCATTATCGGATGCGGTTCGGTACGCCAGATCAAACGACCTTGGATCGCGGTGGAAATGGCATTGCGCCGCCAGCCCCTACGAGTGAGATGTTCCATTATCTCCTCATTTTTGAGCAGTTAGCGGAACACGGATTTAATGCGCTTGTTCACTTGCAACCGAAGTTTTTGAACTTAATTTCTCGCACAGAACACGGCGCGCCAGATAAATTTTACGATTTTCTCAGAGGGTACGAGCCGGAAACACCTATTATATATGATCCATCTGGCGGTATCGGGTTCGTCGAGGAACGCGCGCCAGGGATCCCAGAACTCTCCTATGCGAGTCTACAACTCTTCCAAAACGGTGGCAATCCGGCGCGGCATATTCTCTATTGGGTCGGACACGGGACCTTTTCACGCGGCAGTGATATCCTTGATGCTTACAAACATGCCGAATACTTTGAAGCCGCGGCACGGATGGCGTGGGAGGCAAATCAGCAACGTGTTGACGCTCAAGCGTATACAGAAGAAATCGTCAGTTGTATCTTGCGCGAATTCAACGCGAACAGCGAGGCATCTTCTAAATCAGATGATGGTTTCCAAGATTCCGATACCCGAGTGCAGTCTGATAATGTCTATAATTATCCTTAAGCTCCTAAAATGTGCCTAAGCAACTAAGAACAGAGGAATAAAGAGTATGCAAGCACCTATAGAAGATATTCATGAATCGGAGATTGACAATACCGAAACTGAGACAGATGCACGGAAAGCAGAGCAGCTTGAAGAGTATCTCCGCGACAGTATAGTTGGAAGATATATACGGAACTATAACAAACGGTTGCGGACCCTCAGCCAAGATTTGGGAAAAACACGCCAGCAAGTTGATGATAAACTTGCAGCTATGGAGCAACGCTTCATAGGGGAAATCGCGGACGTTAAAGCCGATATCCGTAAACTTTCCGAGCAGCTTGAAAGCGATAATTTGTTGCTAACGGCAGATAAAGTTGAAACACTCATTGATACACGGATTGATACCCGACTTGATGGAATTACCGGACGTGGCGAGGCGGATCTCCAGAAATTATCAGCACTCGTAGACGAGTTTGCCCGTGAATTCCAAGCACAAATTGACCGACTCAGTAACGAGACGAAACTGCTGCGAGAACAGACTCGCCGAAACCAGGAAGCACTGCGAGCAGACTTAACCTCTGAAACCGAAACACTTGAAGCAACAAAAATTGATCGGTTAACCTTATCTGAGACCCTCATTACACTCGGAATGAAATTGAAAGAGGACAACCTGTTTGATGAATTCGGCGTGGATCTTGATTTGGATGAAGACTTAGATACGAACTTAGAAGAATCATGACATTTAAACACATTGAAAATTCCATAGATAGCCGACGATGCCAGAAGTTTCAAATGTGCCTTCTGATCATTAGTCTCTTGTGCATGATACACGCCAACGGGTTGTTGACAGACACCTTGGCAAGTGAAACGGTTTCTGATGCTGAGATTTCTGTTCTGGCTGTCGGCGATATTACGATAAGCAGCCGTATGACACCGTTGATTGAAAGGAATGGTGCCGGTGCATTTTTTGAGGGAACCGCCACCTTAATTCAGTCCGCGGATATCGCGACTGCCTCGTTGAACGCGAGCATTTCGGAGCGCGGAGAACCGAGATACGGTATTGAACATCCTTTTCGCTCAGCACCGGGGCTCGGAAGGGCCCTCGCGAATGCCGGATTTGACGCTGTCTCCTTAGCTACACCACATATAATGGATTTCGGCTTTGAAGCTTTAGAAGATACGATCACTGAACTGGAGTGGTATAATGTCAAACCGATCGGTGCTGGAACAGATGCTAAGACTGCGAAACGTCCGGCATGGGTGCCAATCGGTGTAGGGGAGACTGAACCTGGGCAGGTCGCGTTGCTGGCGTATTATCGGGGGAATGCGTTCGCCCGATACACCGAGGACCCGCTCGCTTACGCCGTTTATAGTGAGATGACGGAAGCTGTCAAGCAAGCACAGACGGAAGCTGCACTCGTGATCGTTTGGCTACATTGGGGAAGCCAAGGACGTTCAGCAAATGAAGCAATCGGGCGACAGCGAATTTTTGCACACGCACTCATTGACGCAGGAGCAGACGTAGTGTTATGCCAGCAGTTACATACGTTTGGCGGTATTGAGTTGTATCAGGGCAAACCGATTGTCTACAGCCTTTCAGATTTTATCTATGATACTTATGATAAACAACACTCGCGCATAGTGATCCCGAAAGCAACGTTTAAAGCTGGAGAACTGAAATCTATCGAGCTAATTCCAATTTTGACGGATCCGCCTAAGACACCGGTACGCCCTGCAAAACCTGCGGAGACCTCAGTAAAACCCGAAATTAAAAACCAGTTTCCCAGCGTCCTCACAGGAGAGGCAGCAATAGAAACTTTACAAGACTACCAGCGGCGTTGCGCAGAATTGAAAACGGAGGTGTTCATAGAGAACGAACGCGGATGGATTCGATAGATAGCGTATGTTAGAGGCAAAGATATGACAAGCAATAAGGGTGTTATGGCTCCGAGCTCGCAACCCCATAGTGAAGAGAGTTCATCTCCGGTATTTAGAGGTGAGCGTGGTTTAACACCTAAGGCATTTGTCGTAGCGATGCTTCTGATTCCTCTAAACGTTTTCTGGATCATTCAATTGGAGGTAGTCCGCTATACACATCCGACGCTGATTCATCCGCTGTCTAACGTCATTTTCATCATCTTTTGCTGATGCTACTCAGTGCAGTGTTGGGGAAATTGTCATCGACACTGCGGCTGACACCAGCGGAGTTGCTTACCATCTATGTCATGTTGTGCATCGTTTCCTCGCTCTGTTCGCACGATATGATGGAGATTTTGGTCACGATACTTGGACATCCGTTTCGGTTTGCTACATCCGAAAATGAGTGGCAACAACTCTTTTTGGAAGGAGCTTCCGACGTGGCTAACCGTTCAGGACACTGGTGTTTTATCGGGTTATTATGAGGGGCAATCAAGCCTGTATCGTAAGGAACACCTGACCGCTTGGGCAGGACCGGCTGCATGGTGGACCGTTTTTATTCTTGTGTTGATGTTTGTTATGCTATGTATCAACACACTTCTCCGTCTCCAGTGGACAGAGCGCGAACGGTTAACCTACCCGATTATCCAACTGCCGCTCGCGATGACAGAGACGAATACGAGTTTTTTTAAGAATAAACTGATGTGGTTCGGTTTCAGTATAGCCGCAGCCATTAGTATCCTGAATTTGCTAAACTCGATTTATCCGGCGGTCCCGTATTTGCCTGTTAAACGGCAAAACATCCATCAGTACTTTACCGGTCGTCCTTGGAATGCAATGGGCGGCGTACGCCTCTCATTTTATCCTTTTGCGATTGGGATAAGTTTCCTTATTCCGCTGGATCTGCTTTTTTCATGTTGGGTGTTCTATTGGGTCTACAAATTTGAGTTGATGGCAGGCAGCGTTCTTGGAGTGCGGAATTTGCCGGGGTATCCTTACGCCGATGCACAAAGTTTCGGGGCATATATGGTGCTACTCGGCACCGCTGCTTGGGTCGGAAGAACACATGTCAAACGGATTTTTACGGGTGTCGTAGATGGACTTCGGGGCACTTCTCGGATAGATATGCAGCGTGAACCGATGCCTTATCATATCGCTTTCCTCGGCATTTTAGGCGGGATGCTGTTTTTGACGATATTTTCCTATAAGGCGGGAATGTCGCTTTGGGTGATTCCGCTGTTTTTCGGGCTTTACTTTCTGCTCGCGACGATGATTGCCAGACTTCGTGCTGAGTTAGGGTTCTTAGTCCACGATTTACACAGGGTGGATCCACACGGGTTAATCGTGACAGCGTTCGGCTCTCAACGGTTGACAACAAGTACAAAAGCGGTTTTTTCGTTGTACATGTTCTTTAACCGAGCGTATCGTGCACACCCGATGCCGCAGGAACTGGAAGCATTAAAAATCTCAGAACGGCGACAGATACATCCGCGACACACCGCCGCTGCAATTCTTATAGCGACCTTAGTCGGTGCTATCGTCGTATTCTGGCTGCTCTTGGATAGCTACTACAGACATGGTGCTGAGACCGGCTATTATGGACCTTGGGCATTAGGATTCGGTAGAGGCGTTTATAGACAACTTGAAAACTGGTTGAATTATCCACAAGAGACCGATATACCTGCCCTCATCTTTATGGGTGGCGGCGTAGGTGTCTCACTCGGATTAATATTCTTGAGAACCCGTTTTCTGTGGTGGCCCCTGCATCCGCTCGGCTATGCCATGGCAAACAGTTGGGGCATGTCCAATCTCTGGAGTTGTATCTTTGTTGCCTATGTGATGAAGGCACTCGTATTGCATCACGGGGGACTCAAAGCCTACAGACGCGCTGTACCGTTCTTCCTGGGGCTTGCGCTCGGGGACTATATATGCGGAAGTTTGTGGAGCATTAGCAGCATTTTCGCGAATACCACACTTTACCAATTCTGGCCTTGATTGTAGAAAAAGAGGTTGTCAGAACGGTAGTTGCCAATTATTAAAGAGGCGGATATCCACTTCCTAAAAATTGATAATCGTTAATTGAAAACTGCTGACAACCGAGAACTATAAGAGAGGAGAAAAACATGAAAACCGAAGAAAAAGAAAACGAGTCTGAAAATACCATTGATCAAGAAGAAGAAAAAGAAGAACTTACACAGGAACTTCCGATTCTGCCACTGGGCGATCTTGTCGTTTTTCCGTACATGCCGCCAGTGCCGCCGTTTCCACCGCATCACGTCGCGCTCTCTGGAAAGATGGCTACCACGGCTATTGAACATGCTATGGAGGCTGATAGGGTGCTTTGCATCTTTCGTCCAAAAAGGGAACTCTCCAAAGAAGATATCAAGGACATTAAAGCAGACGATCTCAGCCCAGTCGGGAGTTTGATCCATATCCTCCGCTATAAAACCGATGATGAGGATGTATTGTTCCTCGCGCATGGACGAGAACGCGTACAAATTGAGGAGATCTTGCATACGGAGCCCTTCGTCAAGGCGCGCGTCAGCATCATAGGAAACGATGATTCAGACTCGGTTTCCGCTGACTCAGAGACGGACTTGGAAGTTGAGGCACTTGTGCGCAGCAACGATGAAATGTTCCAGCGCATTGTTCAGATGTCATCGCGCTACCAAGAGGAATACGGCAGTATAACCAAAACTATGCTTGATGAGCCAGGTCGCCTTGCCGACTACATCGCCGCTGTATTGGATTTAAAGTCCCACGATAAGCAGCGCATTTTGGAGGCGGTATCTATTCATGAACGGTTAAATACCCTGGCAGTTATTCTCGCAAAAGAACTTGACTTGCACGAATTAGAAAGCAAAATCCAAAATAATGCACAAGCAGTTATTAACAAAGGACAGCGCGAATACTACCTTCGAGAACAACTTAAGGCTATTCAGACCGAACTTGGCGAAGCGGACGACCTCGGACTTGAAATTGATGAGATGCGAGAGCAGCTGCGCGAAACTGAGATACCCGAAAAAGCGAAGCAGGCAGCCGAAAAAGAACTCAAACGGCTTTCCAAAATGCAGTCTTTATCACCGGAATCAACCGTTTCCCGGAATTACTTAGATTGGTTGCTAAACCTACCGTGGTCTGTTAGTACCGAGGATTCATTAGATCTCGCTGCGGCAAAAGAGATTCTTGATGCGGATCACTACGATCTGGAAAAAATCAAAGAACGGATTTTAGAGCATCTCGCTGTACGCATGCTCAAAGCAGATATGAAGGGCCCCATCTTCTGTTTCGTTGGGCCGCCGGGTGTCGGAAAAACCTCGCTTGGTAAATCCATTGCGCGCGCTATGAACAGAAAATTTGTGCGTATCTCATTAGGTGGCATGCACGATGAAGCCGAGATCCGTGGGCACCGGCGTACCTATATCGGTTCCATGCCGGGACGAATTGTCAAAGGGTTACGCCAAGCCGAATCGAACAACCCTGTCTTTATGCTTGATGAAATTGATAAACTCGGTTCTGATTTTCGCGGCGACCCGGCTTCTGCGCTTTTGGAAGTCCTTGATCCCGGAGCAGAATCACTCATTTACGGACAATTACCTCGATGTCCCCTTTGATCTCTCGAAAGTGATGTTCGTCACAACAGCGAATCAACTGCACACGATTCCACCACCCTTGCGCGACCGGATGGAAACAATAGAACTCCTCGGTTACACCGCCAACGAGAAACAGATTATTGCTAAGCAGTATCTAATTCCTCGCCAGTTGACTGCAAATGGACTGAAAGACGATTTGATTCACATTAGAGATACAGCCATTGATAAAGTGATCAGTGCGTATACCCGCGAAGCGGGTGTGCGAAATTTGGAGCGCGAACTCGGTACCGTTTGCCGTAAAGTGGCGCGCCGTGTTGCTGAAGGAAAGCCGGATCGGACAACTATTGCGACTAGGGATATTCAACGCTATTTGGGACCCGCGAAGTTTGATTCTGAGATTGCCGGACGTAAATCCGACATCGGTGTGGCAACAGGGCTATCTGTCACACCTGCTGGTGGGGAAATCCTTTTCATTGAGGCAGCCACCACCAAAAAGACAAATGCGCATACCCAACTACGCATCACCGGACAGATCGGCGATGTCATGCAGGAATCTGTACAAGCCGCGCTTAGTTATGTTAAATCCCAATCCGACGCGCTCCAATTTAACCCGGGTGTATTAGAAGATGATATTCATGTACATGTGCCCGCAGGGGCAATTCCGAAGGATGGTCCCTCGGCTGGTATTACCATTGCGACTGCCCTCGCCTCTATCGCCACTCAGCAACAGATTAGTCCTGAGATCGCTATGACAGGTGAACTCACGCTCAGAGGCAGAGTTTTACCTATCGGTGGCGTGAAGGAAAAAATCCTTGCGGCGAAGCAGGCAGGCATTAAGAAAGTCATTCTGCCACTGGGCAACAAAAAACATTTCATTGAAGTTCCCAAAGACATTCAAAAAGGTGTTGAGTTTCTGTTTGTAGAACATGTAACCGAAGTTTTCACGGAGGTATTCACATGAGACACTTATTGAGAATCATCGTGCAAGGTCCACGTGCCGTGCACATAATTCCTCGGTTTGCCACACTTGCTATCGTGTTTCTGGTAGTGATGTCATTCGCTGCGCAAGCAGACACGACTGACAACGCAAACCCCGTGTCCGCAGCTACATTGCCTGAGATTATTAAAGACGCTGACGCTAATGCTACAGAATCGTCTGTTAAATTTCTGAAAGATATCGCGCCTATCCTTGACAAGCAAGGGTGTTCAGCTGGCATGTGCCACGGGAAATTTGGCGGACAGGGTGGGTTAAATCTCTCTCTGTTGACCTTAAACCCGGAATCAGATCATGAACCGATTGTTCACCACAATCGCGGTAGACGCATCAACCTGCTTGAACCAGATCAGAGCCTCTTTTATCTCAAACCCACCGGACAGGTGCCGCATGAAGGGGGTTTGCGCTTTGATCCGAACTCAGATGAAGGCGCAACTATTCTGCGATGGATCGAAGCGGGTGCGCCTTTTGCCGACGACGAACCACGCCTGAGAAAACTTGAAATTGAGCCGAGCACCTTTGTGCTGTCCGATGTCGGACAAACTTCACAACTGAAGGTACTCGCCTATTTTTCCGACGGATCCGTTGAAGATGTAACCGAGAAAGCCGTCTATGAATCTAAAGACGCACCTGTCGCTGAGGTATCACCTGCTGGCGAGGTGACGAGTGTCCGATGGGGAGGAACTGCAATTATTGCACGTTTCTTAGGTGTTGTCGATGCATCGTTTGTAACGATTCCGCGGGCTTCCGACACAAATCTTGCCTCATTAGACCCAGAATTTACTCCCAATAATTTCATTGACGAGTTTGTACTTGCCAAACTCAAAAAGTTGAATATCCGGCCTTCTCCTTTGACAACTGATGATGCCTTTCTGCGCAGAATCTATTTGGACACCATCGGTCGACTTCCGACCCCAGGCGAGGTGAAAGCGTTCTTGGCAAATGCCAGCCCTGATAAACGCTCGAACCTCATTGATACGCTTCTTGACACGCCGGAATGGGTAAATCTGCGTACGCTGAAATTAGCCGATATGTTGCGCATCCACCCGCGGACCTTAGGAAACGGTTCATTTGGGGAGCGTGGTGCAACACTTTTTCACGAGTGGGTGCATGAGGCAGTCGCAAAAAACAAACCTTACGATGAGTTTGTCCAAAATCTCATTGAGGCGCGAGGCAGCACCTATCAGCAGGGTCCGCCAAACTACTACCGTATTGAGCGGCAACCCGCGGGCAGAGCTGAGACAACCGCACAGGTGTTTCTCGGCATCCGTCTGAGTTGTGCCAGATGCCATAAGCATCCGTTTGACCAATGGACCACCGATGACTATTGGAATTTTGCTGCTTTTACTGGAAAGGTAGGAACTCTCGGCGGTGAAATCTACAACGAGCAGGTTATCTATTATAACCCCACTGGACGCGTTATTAATCAATCTGTGCAGGGCAACCGCGGTGAAGTGGCACTCCCGACCTTCCTCGCGGGTGAATCGCTCGCTCCAAATTATCAGGGAGACGTACTGGAAGCACTCGCAGATTGGATGACTTCCTCAACGAATCCGTATTTCGCGAAAGCGACCGTAAATCGGATCTGGAGCCACTATTTCAGTAGAGGTATCGTCGATCCAGTTGATGACATGCGTGCGACAACCCCGTCAAGCGTTGAAGGACTTCTGGAAGCGTTGGCTGACGATTTTGTGCAAAGCGGATTTGATACGAAGCACGTCATTAAACGGATTCTCAATTCGCGCACGTACCAACTTTCTGCAGAACCCAATGAGACAAATCAATTGGATGACCGGTTTTTCTCGCGCTTCTATCCGCGTCCGATGATGGCACAAGTCTTGTTGGATGTCCTAAACGACGTTACGGAGACCGGAGAAAAATATGGACGTTATCCAATGGGTACGCGTTCTGTGGAACTGCCACTGCCGGTGAGTTCACGCTTCTTGTCGCTCTATGGGCGCTCCAATCGGGAGTTCCTCGGTGATTTGGATCCGAAACTCGAACCGACACTCACTCAGGCACTCCACATGATTAACTCCAGTTATATTCATAAGAAGCTGAGAAGTTCCAGTGGTGTACTCTCACGTTTGATAAAAGAAAGAACTGACGATCGCGAACTCGTTGCCGAGTTGTACCTCAGCACGTTGAGTCGGTTTCCCACGGACGAAGAGTTTGAAACCGCTGTAGCCTACATCGCTGAGAGCCCTAAACGCCGGGGAGGCAGTGAGGACCTCTTGTGGGCACTCATCTCCTCGCGGGCATTTGTCTTTGTCCAATAAACCAACCCTGAAGAACCCTTACGGCGAGGTCTATGACCTCGCCGTACCTATCTCTTATGTGGCTTGCAACGCTTGCTGACCGGATTTGGAATCCATGACCCTTGAAAAACCCATTAAGAAAACCGAAAATTTATTTCAACGGTGGAGGACACAACGATGAGGCATTTGAAACGCTATTTTACTTTGAGTTTCTCTATGTTGCTAGTGTTCGGGTTAGTGATACCAGTATTGGCGCAGGGCGAGAAGAAAGAGGATCTAATTGGGCATTGGACCTTTGAGAATGGTGTTGAATTGGAAGACTTGACAGGGAATTTTGGCGAAATTGACCTCTTAGGTGCCGATGTGAAAGACGGGAAATTACGCATCGGCAACAATGAGTGGGCAATAACTACAGGTTACAAAGGACCTGATATCGGTCCTGACAAAACATTGGTAGCGTGGCTCTATCTGGACGACCTTAACGTTACGCGTGGTGCACCGCTGGCAGTAAATAAAAGCAGTGGAGATACCTTTGATGCTATCGTCTATGCCGAACGCCAGCCGAAACGTTGGATGGCCGGTAGTAGTTTCTTTAGACGCACTCAGGATGCAAACCCTGGGTTTGAAGAAAAAGAGACAGGGAAGTTGATTCAGCTGGCAATTTCGTATGAAGATGATGGCGGAAACGCAAAAATTATGATATACCGCAACGGTGATCTCATCGGTGATTATACTATGGGTCCAATCGTATCTTGGGAAGCCGATGATGTAGAAGCACTTTTCGGGCCCCGCGCCTTCATCGGTGGTACCGCACACGGTTGGGTGATCGGTCGCGTGGAAGATGCCAGAATCTACAACACTGTCCTCAATGAGAACGAAATTAACAACTTGGTCGATGACACCCTATATGTTGAAGCGCGTGGTAAACTCGCGACGACGTGGGGTTCTTTAAAGCTTTCCAAATAGGTGCTTAGCGGGTGGTTAGCACAGATGGTTATCCGTTTCAAGAAAGGAAAAAATCAGTGGAAACACAAGCCCGATACGCTCACCTGTGTGCGGGACGATGGAAGTGTCACTTGGACACATCTCCATCGTGGGTTTGTGCATCACGATTTCGCTCACTATGTTGTTGAAACAACACTCGGCTTTGAGAATGCGTTCTTCGGGCTTGTAGCGAAAGGATACGGCATCCCAGATTTCAGTGAACCCAAAGCAACACGTCCTTTTGAAATTCCGAAAGAAGCGACGGAAACCGAGCCGATTGTGGCACTATTACAGGCTGACTTTCCTAACACGCCGTATGCCCAAGATGCTAATTCCAATGGGTTATTTCGAGAACACAGCGCGACGCTTCCAGTAAGCATCACAGATGAACAACTTGAAGTGATGCGACAGAAATTGCGATCACTGTTACAGCAATGGCGAGATTTACAACTCGGAGCGTCAATGGTGTTACAATTTCGTATATGAAACGCCGTAGGATATAGTAGTAGGCACACTCCGTTGTGCCGTAACAAGTTATACCTCACGGCGTTTCTTAGTTTTAGCAAATTACGAATTATTCACTGTTCTTTGTCAGCCGCTCGACGATTCCTTCAACGGCACTCTCCGCACGTTCACGAATCTGATCCGGTGTCAAGCTCTGAATCGGATGGGCAACGGTGAGCGGTTCCAAATCACTATGACCCAGTACACGCGCTTGGACTTTGCCTGCAGCAAAGAAAACCTCCGTACAAACTGCGACGCTTGGCACACCGCGTTCCTCTAAAGCACTCCCATCGTGCATACTGCACGATATACAAGACCCTCAGTCGGCAAGCCCTTCAATGACAAAATCAGCCTGCTCCGCCAATTCAACGAGCAATTCGGTCGGCGCAGGACGCGAGAAGGTCGGCTTTTTGACATGAATCACTTCGGCAAGGTCGAACCGTTCCTGCATCAATTCCGCAATCCGATCAAGAAAAATATCACTGCCATTCTTCGTGATATTGAGCAACCCCATCACTTTTCCATCAAGATTATCGAGCCGCGGTGCAAGAAATTTCGCGGATACATCACCTTGAGAGGTTGGATCAAGTAAGGTAGCATTTGGCATTCTGAAATCCTCAGTATTCTTTTGCTGACGAGGTTTGCAACCTCGCCAATCCCAGTGTTTTTTCGCTGGCGAGGTTTTGCGGTGTACTCACCCCGACGACTCTCACTGCGAGGCAACACACACACTCGGCGTTGATTCATGCGATCTGCATTCCCAACCTCGCCAATCCCAGTGTTTTTCGCTGGCGAGGTTTTGCGGTGTACTCACCCCGACGACTCTCACTGCGAGGCAACACGCGCACTCGGCGTTGATTCATGCGATCTGCATTCCCAACCTCGCCAATCCCAGTGTTTTTCGCTGGCGAGGTTTCCCAACCTCGCCAATCCCCTAAGGCATCATGTAGACGAACGGGACGCTTCCAATTGCAGTTCCTGCGATTTTGCCATCGCATCTTCTGCTTCTTGGATCATCTCTTTTCGTTGGTAACAGATAGATAGGCTGGTATATGCAAGCGGATCCTTCGGGTCAATAGCAATCGCCTTCTGAACAGCTTCAATCGCTTCATCGTAGAGACTGAGCCGTTCATAAGCATGTCCTAACCCAAGGTATCCTTCAATATAGTCTGGATAGGTGTCAATCAATTCTTTAAATGCATTCACAGCCCCCTCAATGTCATTTTCGGCAAAATGGTTGAGCGCGGCATCGTAAAGTTCCGTTTCGGTCAGCATTTTTTGTGTCCTTTGAGATAAGAGTTTAGCGAAATTCTATCAGAAAAGGCAGCGAATGTCAAACACAAAATGATTCTGAAAATCGGTTGCACACCAAACTGTGTTACGGTATGCTATACGTAGAATTTTTTCTAATCCCGTTAAGGAGCGTTGAAGTTTGCGCAATTACGCCGGAATCACCGAACACCTGAAACACTTGAGGGTGCCGATAGAACTGATCGGCATCGCCCACGATTACCCGATTCATCAAATTCGCTTAGCGTCTTCAGCAGATACACCAAGACATATCCTCATCACTGGCGGTATGCATGGTGATGAACCCGCAGGTGTTGAGGCTGTCTTACAATTCCTTGCACGAGACAATACCGCACTCCTGAAAAAGTTCTCGTTTCAAGTGATCCCGTGTATCAACCCTTATGGCTACGTTCATAACACACGTGAGACCTGTGGCGACATAGACATCAACCGCGCTTTTGAAACAGATGATATTGCAGAAGTGGCTATCATCAAAAAGGCACTTGGGCAAACCCAATTCTCGCTCACAATAGACTTCCACGAAGACTACGATGCGACCGGTTTTTATCTCTATGAGGGTAAACGCGACGAGAAATACATCGGACCCAAGCTCGCCGCAGCTGGTAAAGCAATTGGTCAATTGGCCCCCGGATGACCCGGGTGAGGATGCGCCAGACCTTGCCGAAGGTGTTTACAAAGTTGCCGATTCATGGGGAACCCAAGGTTTGGCACCTTACCTGTTGCATTTCCACAGCGAACATGTTATTATCTCAGAAACGCCGACAGTCTGGTCGCTTGAACAGCGCGCCGCACTCCATTTGACAATACTGGATACCGCGCTAAACATCATATCGGAAAAGGAAGAATAAATGGAACAGATATTATCGAATGTCAATACCGCCTCCCAGCCTTCAGCACTGAAAATCACAGATATGCGTATCGTTCGGACGCAAGTAGGCGGTCCCATCTTGAAACTGGATACAAACCAAGGCATCCATGGACTCGGTGAAGTCCGGGATGGTGCAAGTCCAACGTATGCACTAATGCTCAAGAACCGGATTATCGGCGAAAATCCGTGTAACGTTGATAAAATCTTTCGACAGATAAAACAGTTCGGTCACCATGCTCGGCAAGGCGGCGGTGTCTGTGGGATTGAAATGGCACTGATGGACCTCGCTGGCAAGGCTTACGGGGTGCCGTGTTATCAACTCGCCGGTGGCAAATTCCGAGACAAAATCCGATGCTATAGCGATACCCCTTCACTCAGAGATGCAGAAGAAATGGGTAACAAACTCCAAGAACGCATTGATAGCGGTTTTACCTTTCTAAAAATGGACATCGGTGTCGGGCTGCTTCGCGGAATTCCCGGCACACTCTCCGCACCGGACGGAAATTTAGAGACCTCCAACCTGAAGCACCCTTTTACAGGTATCCGCTTGACTGAAAAGGGTATCGCTATGCTCTGCGAATATGTGGAAACGGTTCGGAACATTATTGGGTATGAGATACCGCTCTCGGTTGATCATTTTGGACATATCGGTATTGAGGACTGTATCCGCCTCGCGAGAGCGTTGGAAAAATACAACCTCGCGTGGTTGGAGGATATGGTACCGTGGGAATACACCGACCAATATGTCCGTCTCTCTAATTCGTGTGCTACACCGATTTGCACAGGCGAAGACATCTACTGTAAAGAGGACTTTATGCCACTGTTCGAGAACCGAGGCATCGCCGTAGCGCACCCGGATATTGCGACATCAGGCGGAATTTTAGAGACGAAGAAAATTGGGGATCTGGCAGAAGAACACGGTATTGCGATGGCACTCCACATGGCAGGCACACCGGTCTGTGCGATGGCGAGCGTCCACTGCGCCGCAGCGACATCGAACTTTATGGTGTTAGAAAACCACTCTGTTGATAATCCGTGGTGGGATGAAATGGTGACAGGCTTACCGAATCCGATTATCCAAGACGGTTATATCAATGTCCCAGAGACCCCCGGCTTAGGCATAGACCTCAACGAAGAGGTCATCCGAGAGCATCTGCATTCGCAGAGACAGCATACTTCGCACCAACGACAGAATGGGATTCGGAACGTTCCCATGATAGATTATGGAGTTAGAGAGACTCCTTATACCAAATTAACCCCATTTGTAGCGCGAGGTCCCTGTGCCTCGCAATACTGACTTGATCAAAAGACTTCTAATCAAGTTAATTTGGTGTTATTGGTTTCCTGAAGGCGTTGTGCAATGTTGGCTTTGATATTTTCATGTCCATGCTGTTCAGCCAATTTTAACGCCGTTCGGAAATCAGGACGCGATGCTTCACTCTCGTTGAGGGCGAGTTTTGCCGCACCACGATTATAGTAGGCTTCTACAAATTCTGGTCCGGCATCCACTCTTCTTATGCTGATGCAGTACCACATACTATACAGAGACCAATAAAAAATATAAGGAGTGTGTTAATGTGTTTCATAGTTTCCTCCCTTGTAATTTGTGTATTCGTAAACTTTATAATGTTCAGACGAGTCTATGTTGTAATGGAGCCTAAGAATGACAAAGTTGGATCAGAGGTTATGGGATGCAGATAAGACGTGCGCTAAATTTTTCGGGGCACCGCATTTATTCAACCGGATAACCGATTCTTGGTCACGGAAACGTACTGTGAGATGTTTCAGTCTTGGCCGTTGTGCTGGGTGGATCCCTTTACCGTGGAACACTACTGGGATGCAGGTAGTTTTGAGGTTTCTCGGAACTAAAGATGAAACGAAGCCCACGGTTCCTCGCAACTGTTCGGATACATCGGTTGCTTTGAAGGTGCCACTTTTAAGCTCAATTAAAACTGCAACAAGGTGATTTTCCTCAGAATTTACATAAAAGAGAATCCTATCGCATCGCTTGCCGCTCCTTCTATGTGCTTTGAATGCTAGATCTACGTCTACGACAACGCGATCACCCGGGATGTCAGTCATGTCCACACGACATCCACGGCCGCTGCACGAATGCGTTAGGTTTTCTACACCTACGCGCTCGCGGATTTCGCCAAGAACTTTACTCAATTGCACTCGCTGCTTCCTCGTCTAAGAGTTGTTGTTCAAGTTTAGTGAAACTCTCATAGAGTTTATCAGCAACGTCGTAGTAATCCTGCGGTTCTATGCCTTCAATGCGATCAAACGGAAGTTCTTTTATAGGTTTGCCGCCGCTGAACCACCAGGCACCAACCTCTTCCTTTAATAACCAATTCGCTGGTGCTATACTATTTTTTATCAACTGCATCACTTCGCCTTCACGAATCAGATTTCCGATTTGCTGGATGAACCATTCACTATGTGTCGTAACAACCACACGGACCCCGGCTCGAACCAATCGGGCGAGGGTGAGAGCGATTTGGGTTTGAGCAAGAGGATGCAAGTGTGCCTCAGGTTCTTCAATAATGAGCAGATCACCTGGCTGAACAACACCGCGCAGAAACAACACCAGGGGCGCAAGTTCAGCCACCATGGACGAAGAACGCCTCACGGGCAAAGCCTGTTCGGCTTTCCGTGGGCGATAGAAGAATTCCAGAGGTCTCCCCGACACTGCGCGCTCAACTTCTATTGTCCCACCTAATATTTCGTCCTCCAGTGCTTTGGCGATACAAGTTATCTGATCTGAAGATTCATCGCGTGCCTGATAGAGTTTAATCCACTTTAGAAAATCCACTTCTATTTCCGAAGAAGGAGGTATCTCAGGGCAGTGTCCTGAGCCATTATGAGTAGTACCCTCTATAAGAGATTTGGCGATCACCTCATAGTTTTGCATGATGCTTCTCCGGGTAGCAGGCAAGTAGTACGCTTGTGCGGTTTCTCGGCTATGTTGCCTCAGAGATGCATCAAGATACTCAACACCGAAAGTCTCTTGGAACTCCCCCTCATTTTCAGAACAAATGACCAGATCCTTGTTGATTGATGCACTTAAAGTGGTTCCTGATGCGGATATTTGTGTGTCAAAGGACCAGAGGGCTTGATTTTTCTCGAGAACCTTCAGCGACACTTTCATTTGATTGCCCGAGTTACCCGTAAAACGGATCAAATCTGAAAGAGATGCAAGATCGAAACAGCGTTTGAGTTGGCTGCTGAAAATCTCGGAATCGTTGAGGGAAGATTCCAATTGGGAACGTATCCCCTGAGGTAAATCCGAAAATCTGAACGGCAGCTCACTTGTCCTTAGTTTTTCGAGAGCCGCTGTAATTTCTTCGTCCTTGGGAAACAGCGAGTCACGCATCATTAAGTGCAAATCCATAACATCGTGGTGTGACCAAGGAAATCGTGCGAAACCCGCAAAATTATTGTACAGTGCATAGATGAGTGCTGCGAGATAGGTTTTGCCGGTATTGCTCTCGCCGACGAACACCGTCAGAGGACGAAGCTCTATCTCTGCCTCCTCTATAGGACCGAAATTCTGTGCCTTGATGTGGACATTTGTAGGATGTATGTCTTTGATGTCACGCACTGTATTTTCCTCCTGCGGATGGTGAGTTTTAATCCAACTTATACACATATTTGCAGGCGAATTGCAACGAAAAAACCCCCGATCCTCCGGTAAAGCGACTTCCAAATTCAAACTTGACGAAGCACTAGCTCTCCACTTAACGGAACAGGAGGCTTCATTGCAACGACATCTATTATACCATACCAAAATTTAGATGGCAACGTTGAATATGAGAAAAAAGCAGGCTTTGGGTCTTTGGTAGCACCCAATATTCCTACCGTCCGAACTGATTTGCCACAGCGACTAAATCCAGAACGTTAACAACACCATCGCCATTAACGTCTGGTGCATTTGTGCCGAACCCATTGGCAACTGCAACCAAGTCCAGAATGTTCACAGTGCCATCTCCGTTGACATCGTGTGTGTCCGCTACTCTTTTCAGATAGATTTTGCCATCTAAGTCTGGGATGATGTGAAGTGTGTTTCGCAAACCACTTTCCACACCTGTTACTTGTT